CCCCCGCCCTGGAATCTGCGCTGGTGGCAGTGAGAGAGTGTGGAGTGTGTTGGAGGCGAGGAGGGGAATCACCAACACTCTCCCTCCCTCCCCTTCCCGCAGCCTCACCTGAGGCCGGGGCTTCAGTACTGGAGCCGCGGGGGGTCCCGAGCATGCTCCGGGGCCGCAGCGAGGGCCGCGGGGCTAGGCCGGAGCGAGGCGGCCCCGGCCCTGGGTCCCCCGCGCACCAGCTTGTTTTCCGGGCGCCGCGGACAGTTGTGAGCCCGGGGGAGCTGCTGATTGGTGCATTTCCTCCTCGGCCTCGGCCCTTTCTCCCCCACCCGGTTCCCTTTGTTTCATTGACTTTTGTGAATGAAACCCTAGGGCCGGGCACGCCCGCCAATCCGGAGACTCGCTTGGCCAAGCCTGGGGGGCGGAGTTTCCCAGCAGCGAGGGCCAATCAGATAGCAGGGGCTGGCTCCCGGCTTCATTCACGGCTTGGGCTCCCATTCATAAAAAAATAAACTCGCGGCCGGAGTTCATTGAGAAAGAGCTGAGAGAAAAGGAGGGAGGCCAAGGACCTGAAGGCTTCTTCGTGGGGCTCGGCGGTGGCCCTGGGTCTGAGGCTCGGTGAGCTCCTCCGGCTGGCGTCTGCACGCGCCTCTGTGCATCTGCATGTACGTGGGAGTGTGAACATGTCTGTGTGTGCGCCCTGGGGGGAGGCGAGTGGACTTGTGTGCCCAGAGGGACAATAATAACTAACATTTATGAAGCACTCTTCTTCCACATGCTCATTTCATTCCCATAACCTGACGAAGTGGCTCTATTGTTTCCATTTTACAGAGATTGAAACGAACACTCGGAGGGGCAGTGACTTGGCTGAGGTCACTCAGTCAGCAAGCTGCTGGGATTTACAGCTCCCAATCCCTCACATTCTCTTATACAGCCCTTCGAGGCCACAGTTAAATGGATTAAAGCTATGTGACAACTAATACACGGTAGGCACTCAATAACTGTAAGCTAGCACGAAATACAGGCTTTTCCTCAAGGGTCTGCTCTGCAGAGCAGCTCTGTGACCCACTTTCTATTGATTGCAGCAGAAACCAGAGCCCCCAGCTTGGACCTCTGAAAGGACAATTCCCCTCAGCCATCTTTCCTCTTATCCTGAGAGCAAACATAGGGTATTAAGGAGGCCCCAGAGATCTGATGATTTAAGGGCAGGACTAGTTTCAGTTCTAGCTGAAAAGCTGGTTATAGTCTCTGTTACTACATTTATGCATTTAATTCAATAAACATTTATTGTGCCAGACTCAAATGCTGGGTGCCAAGCAGGAAGCAGTGACCAAGACAAACAAGCACTTGATGGGAGTTGGGCTGCTTAGGCTGCAGCCATGGGGACACACGGGACACAAAATCCCCCAGGCCTTTTTTCTGAGACAATTCTGAGTCTACAGTCTATGCACTTCTTTGAAAAGAGCCTGATTTTGCTTCCTGCCTGTTTGTGATAAAACACAAGAGAATGGCCAAAGCCCAGGGGAGTAGGAGCTGCCTTCAAATTCATCTAATCTAACACTCCACTTTATAGATGAGGCAGTGAAGCTTCAGAGAAGGAAATATGTGTGAGCTTTCAGCTGGTCAGGATCAGAGCTGGGACGAGAATACCCCACCTCTAGCACCTGTTTAGAACTCATTCTACAAGATCATCTTGGACAAAAGAGAATAAACTTCCCTCTCATCTCTGCTGAAATACTCTTTAAGGCTCATGACTACTGCCCCTCTCCTCCAGGAAGCCTTCCAGATAGCCTGAATCAGTTCCTTGAGGATCCATAACATTGTTGCCTGTATCTCTGGTGTGGATGTCTTTTATTATGCCTAATGGTATAGTAATCCCTATGTATATAGAGCTCTCCAGGGCCCCAGGAAGTCGCTTATGCTTTTTGTAATTCTTCCCCCAGCCTGCTTCACACTTATGAGGGTCCCATGAATACTTGTTTGGTGAATAGTTACAATAAAGACAAAACTAAGGGAGTTTAGCAGCAACCCTGCCCAAGGGAGGCGAGACAAGCCCAAGCAAATCTCAGCTTCAGGCTGGTTGGAACCAGTTTAGGGAGGAGCTTGTGTCTCCAGGCCCAGACAAGTAGGGGGAGGAGGACAAAGGGTTCTTATGGAAGGCAGTTGTGATGTAGTCTCAATGACAATGAAGAAAATTCCAGTGGGTCCCTAGTGGGCACTCCAGTTGGGGGCTCTCTAGGGGTGCTTTGCTGGTTCCGAGTTTTTACTTTTTTTTTTTTAAAGATTTTATTGGGGAATTGGGGGAGGAGAACAGTGTTGGGGAATTGGAGAAGGGGACCAGCAAAGTTGTTCTTCAACCTTCATTGTGAAGGGCACCAGTTGCCATCTGGCTGCCCATCTGCAGCTTGTGGCTTCTAAGCTCAAGGTGCTGTGTTCAATCTTAGTTGCGAGTGGGTGTAGCCACCATCCCATGTGGGAGTCGAACCAGCAGCCTTGTTAAGAACGCACACTCTATCCACTGAGCCATGCGGGTAGCAGCTCAGCTCCAGGTGCCGAGTTCAGTCTTAGTTGCAGGTGGGCATAGCCCACCATTGAACAGGCAATCTTGTTACACCAGCTGTGCCATCCTGCCACCTGTTGGCAGCTCAGCAAAAGTTCAGCTCGGGCACAACGTCACTGGCCCATGTGGGAATTGAACCGGCATCCCTGTTGCTCAGGGCTCACGCCCTTAAGCCAACTCTTAACCAACTGAGACACTCGGCCAGCCCAAGTTTTTAGTTGTTTATGGAGAGCTCCTGGCTCCCTGGAGCGTAGCTGGTTTTCCCCATTCCCCATCCAGGGACCTCCTCTGGCTCCAGCTCTGCATGCAGGCTGAGTGAGAGAAGGCACCAGTGCTGCCACCACTGCTGTCACCTGGTCTCTGATCCAACAACACCCAGGCTCAGCATAGTGAGATCTCCAGGGGGAGCATTTGAGCCTCTTCCAGGGCTCAAGAGAGTTGATGGAGAAGGAATCAAGGGGCTGGAGATTTCCACAATAACCAACATTTACTTGCATTTACTCCAAGGACTGGACCTGTATTAACTCATGCAGCCTTCACAGCAGTCCTGTAAGGTGTCCCTATTTTACAAATGAGGAAACTGAAGCCTCAAAAACACACATCTACACCGAGAGTCCACTCAACAGACTGAGTACACCTCAAACGGACGAGGCACAAAGACTTCACTTTGAGGGAACATATAACAAGCTGGATGGAAGACAAACCTGAGTCAGACAGTACACATGGACACCCCTGGATTAAAGATGCTCCTGGATGCACAGCTTCAGGGAGGACACACACAACTCCCTGACACCCCCAACACACCTTTGGTGGGGATTGCATAGGTAAATGCTTCCCTTCCCTTTAGTATATTGGAGCTGGACTCTGAACAGTTTTCCAGGAGTCTAAGTTATAAAATGTAAGTGTGGGTTTTAGATATGCAGGTGCTTGTATCAAGGCAGCCCAAGGCTGGAAGGTTGGATCTTTAGGATGAGAAGGGAGAGGAAGCCATTGAGACACCTGGATTAGACTAAGAGGCCCAGGAGCCATCAGAGAAGCAGGCTCTCCTCGGGCATTCCGATGGGCATTCCGATAGGGTAGTGGCAGGGGGCTCTGTGATCTGTAAACCTGACTATGAAGGGAGAACAGAAATGTCTTCAAAGGCCTGGCTTCCTTAATGTCTGGGAGAACTGAGAGTCCCAGAGGCTTCAAGAATGGAACTTAAAGGGTAACCCAGGGAGACAGCTTGGTAAGGCCAGATAGATAAGATATTGATAAATAGGGTTAAGTGGTGATGTATGTCCTTTTAGTGTCTCCCAGACTGGAGCTGTCACCAGGGGGAATGAACCAGAAAGGCAGTAGGGGTGGAGACATGGGGTCTTCCAGGGGCTGGTGAGTCAGGACCACCAACAAAAAAAAAGGTTCCACTCTTGGATTTTCTTTTGTCCACAGTCCCACTTACACATTACTTCCCCTAAACTGTCGGGGTCCTGAACCCAGGGACAATGGATGTACAATCCCCTGAAACCAACTGCCTACATCGACCTGTGTGTGCACGTGTGTATTTGCTGAGAAGAGGGTCTATCAGGGCTCATCACAAAGCAGGTCTGTAAAGCCCCCCTCCCCCGGTTAAGAACCACTGCCCTATGTCTTTCATCACAGTTGGCTTTACAAGATCATAGATCCTGTCCATATGTATTATCTTAAAAATGGTTGGAAAGGCACCACTTTTGGAGAATGTGCTTCGGAGGAGGTAGCACGGCTTCCCTTGTTCTTCTCCACCTTCCACTTAGCCTGAGACCTCTCTTGAGACCCACAGAAAAGGCGGCCCTCCCTTCAGGCAGCTGGCCTGGAGCATGTTGGGCTAAAGAAAGAAAGTTACACAGAAAACTGGTGATTTGCTCAACTCCAGAGGGCACCCTGGTAGAGGAGAACTGTCTCAGGAGAAAAGACGAAAAGAGGAGGCCTTGGGTGGAGACTGGGCTTCGTTCCCTTATGTTGCAGGGGCGGGATGTCCTCAAGAATCTTGGCAGAATCAGGAGGAGACAATAACCTCAGCCTGACTCGCGTGGAATCTCCAACTGCAGGTGGAGCCGCTGCAGTCAGGAATCCGAGGTGAGAGGCTCTGGTTCTGGGAGAGACCCTCATCTGGGGTGACAGCCGTGATATTATCAGCAGCAGAGCAATAGACACAATGACACCAATGTGTGGCCAAGCCAATCCCTGATTTTAGGATTCCTCCTGGGGTGTCACCTTTTGGGGAGCTGTATAGGAACTTGTCAGAAACCCAGTGAGGATCATTGAAATATTTTTAAACAAGGCTGAATAAATGTGTCTTCCTTTCATCCAGAATATTGTCCCAGGAGGAAAGGCTGAGCCTAATGCTGAGAAAAGAGTCTGGGAGGCCAAAGAGAGACGAAGGGTATTAACTCCAAGGAAAATAATTTTTATATTTCGAGGGTGCTGGTGACTTCATCTTTTCATATTTGCTGCCTGCAGCAGCTCAGGACTCCCCCAAAATGCAAAACCTTCCTTGTCCGTTTTGTCTCTTCCACTATTGGTTCAGATTTCAACCCTCTGCTTTTAGATGAAGTGCTCCAACTCAAGGACAGGCCCTCTCTGAATGCTGCAGGATATATAAGATTTTATTTTTCCTTTTGAATTTTTTCCCTTTCTGTCAAAGAGAGACAAATGTACAAATGTCAGCAGCCTGAAGGATTGGAATGGAATCTGTGCCAGTTGGGCAGAGTCCAGGATGTTCCCCTTTTTAATTAAGTGCAGACTTGAATTATGAAGGCCACAGCTCCCACTGGGCGGGGCTCTGCCACGGGAAGGTGATTTCTCTCGTTAAAGATTAAATGCCGTTTATTCCACTTAGTCTCTCCTCAGTTCTATGAGAGTGTCTATATTTGCTCTTGCCATCACGAATAATGGGCAATCGAGTTGATGCCCCAGCTCATTAGGGCAACAGCAGCAGTGAACCCCATATCTGGCAGACACCTGGACGCTTGACTCATCCTGGACTCTTTGGGGGGAATGGTGGCACAGGTGGGGATTCCTGAAAATTTTCCCCCCAAACAGAAGCTCTTAACCCCCTCTGTCCCTGTCTGTCCCCCACCCCACCCCACCCCTCCCCTGACTGCCCCTGAGGCTCTCTAGGGCTTCCCTGAGATTGGGGGGAGCTGCTGCTATAGATTTATTTCTCCTGTTGATTCCCATCTATCCTGCTGGTCACCCCAGCCCAGATTTTATCTGGTAATTTACAGCCAAAGTTGTTAATTTACGATCTGGGGCCATGGAGCCCTGAGCCCAGGAAATGACGTTCCTCCTGGGTGAGGGCACTGCTGTCTTCTCACTCCAAGGGGATGGAACGCCTCTGTGGACAAGAGCATGGCATAAAGGAAGGACGTTGGGGGGACGCATGCTGAGAGGACACAATACCTAACCAGATGGGGACTAGTTCTGGATCCCAATTGGAGTTTCCAAAATATGGTGTTTGCAGTTATGCTTTACACTTTATTGTTTTCCTAAGCCTTTTCAGACAATGTTATCTTACTATATTTTCCCAGTATTCCTCCAAGTAGGTTCTTTTAGTTTCATTTTGTAGTTGAGCACTCTAGAGTTCGGAGAGCAATTTGCCTTATGTCACCCAGGGGTGGGGAAGTGGGAGAGGGGACTAAACACCTACCTCCTGATTCTCTTCCCAGAGAATCTAGCTCCAGGGGTATCTGCTTATGAGAGCCAAGCAGAGACAAAACAAGTGTTCTTACCAGCCTGATCCCTAGTCCTCTGATATCCTGACCCCACCTGACCCTCCCCTCCCTGACATCTCCTTTTTAATGTTCTTTTTTTCCCCCCTACAAGTCCCACTTTCCTGTTAAGAAATACCTGTTAGGGTCTTGTTAATTGTGTGTCTTCTTAGGGGGTGGTTCAGCATTTTCTTAAATTGCACATCAGACATGAATGTCTCCCACAAAGGGAAAACTGATGGGGGGCGGGGAGCGTGTTCTTCCCTAGAAATTGAGAATGTAAAGTATATTTAATTAAAATGATAAATCTGATTTTCAGTTTTGTTTTTACTACTGCTAAAACTAATCTATTTTATGCACGTTTGCAGAAGGCTGCAGCCATCAAATCAGAGAATATTAGAGCTGTGAGGCACCTGGAGATCTTTCTGGGCCAAACCCTTCATTTTATAGACAAAGAAACTGAGTCTCAAACAAAAATTAAATACAAAAAAAAAAAAATAAAAGAAACTAAGTCTCATATTGGGGAAGGGACCCCTGAAAGTTCCAGTGATGTGTGAGGGGCTGGTTCTTCAGGGCTCTATCTTCTGTTCCTACTTAAACATACTGGTGTACTCCTCTCTCTTTAAATGTCTCCCCTCCCCCCAAATCTCCAAAGCAAACTCTGTTGGAAGGGGCTTGGCCTCAGGAGCCCCTCCCCCCACCTCCCAGTTGGTACCGATTACTTCTCTATCCAGTTTCCTCCCTCTGACCTTCTGTGGCTTCCTGGGCTGAATCCTTATTCTGGATAGATCACATCTAGTGAGATTTTAAACCATACTTGGTTCTCTCTATTTTTCTCTCTGCCTTATGACAAGGTAGAAACCAGACCTTTGTTTTTTCTTGTCTCAGCTATGTGTGTAGTGTTGAAAACAGAAGCTATTGAATTCACACTTCATGTCGCTTTTGCTTAGAACAAGGTTGTAAATGTTGTGAAACATTTCTTTATTTGAATAAGACAGCCACATGGTACAAAATTCAAAAGTCATATAATGTCCTCTGGTATAATTCTATAATCTCTCCCCTGGCAACGCATTTTAACTTCCTAGAGACAGCTAAGGTGTTCAATGTCTTGTGCATTATTGGTGATGTAGACCATGCGTCTGTTGTGTGTGTGTACATACACACGCACGACAAATACACACCTCTCACATACATTAACCCCCTCTCCCTTGTTTACACAAGTGGTGTAGAGCTGTGAGCACTGTGATATGAACGTTATCAAGAGCCAAAGAAACTTCATCTCGACAGAGCCCAGCATAACCACAGAACATGTAGTTCAAGAAGCAATGTATGTAGATCCAGAGAACAAACATGGTCACCAGATGGGAGAGGGGTTTGGAGGCTGGGTGAAAAAGGTGGAGAGATTAAGAAACACAAATTGGTAATTACAAAATAGTCATGGGGATGTAAGTACAGTATAGGGAATACAGTCAATAATATGGTAATAGCTGTGTAGTGCCAGGTGGGTACTAGACTTCTTGGGGAGATCACGTCATAAATTCTGTAAGTGTCTAACCACTACACTGTACACCTGAAACTAATATAAAATAATATTGACTGTCAACTGTAATTGTAAAAAAAAAAAAAAAGCAATGTATGCAGCTGGACTAGAACTTTTGGAGGTTGTTCTATGTTATAATGGTTGTGCCCGCTCCCTTATCTCCCATACAATTAAAAATAAAGACAATATAAACCATAGAATAAGTTAGAGGAGGTCCAGGCAAGATTTGATTTTCATCCTGATGACCAATACCACAGTATTTTAAAGAAAAAATAAATTTGGTGCTTCTGCTTTGGTGGCGGCCTAAGTACAAATCTTAGTCTGACTGGGGTTACCTGACATGGGTTCTGACATAGGCCCAGGTCCAAATCCTGGTTGTGCCTCTGACTTCGTGATCTGAGTGAGTCAGTGAATCTCTGTGAGCCTCAGTTTCCTCATCTGTACAATGGGGATAATAAGATCTACCTTGGCTCTTGATTTGAATGACCTTGTAGGAGAGTGGCGACTAGAGATAATGTGTTGTGAATGCCCAGTGAACAGAAACGAGCCTCCTTTCACTCGTTCTCTATATAAGTGTGTGTACACACACGTGCAGGTCTCTTCCCCTTGCACATCCTCACTTCACTGCTTCTACTTTAGGCCTCTCCGGCTCCCAGTGTGTGGGATGATGTGTGGATGGGGCTTCAGGTCTTGTGGGCAGTGCTAGGCTAGCTATGGGGTCAGACACCCATGGGGGGCGGGGCTGAGTCCCAGTAACTGGAAAACTCTCAGTCAGGCATGGCTCCCCGGGTGAGGAGAAAGCAGGTCAGGTGTGAGTGTGAGGGGGCTTTTTTCAGCCCCTCCTGACAATCCCATCCCCCTTCTTCTGTATGTTACTATTTTGGGGAAGTATGAACAACTGCTTAGCTTCGGTTTAGGTGTGCCAGCTTAGAGGCAGTGGCCTCTCTCATTTACTGGGTGCTGGTGTCCAGGCTCATTTGTATGCTATGGGAGGTGGCTTCGAGGCCTCCAGGGCCCAGTCTGTAGTGGCTGTTGGTTGTCTAAGCTTCTAAGGGACAAGGGGCTCCACCTTCTTCTGCAGAGAAGGTCTAGTTAAGAGGCAGGAGGTGGCTGTCAAGGGAGGGAGGATTGTGGGTCCCCGTGTGTGTGTGTGTGTGTGTGTGTGTGTGTGTGTGTGTACACACAGGCTATAATAGTCACTGCTTTACTTCTCATTTCCAAGAAGTCAGAAAGCTGCAGTAATTTCGGAATAAGGAGTACCCTCTAAGAGACTCTAAAGCTCTGTCCAAGATAGCCGGCACATTCCGTGGGTAATGTCTTTTCTGGGGCCTGAGGAGCAACCAATCTATGATATTTGGTCCCATTGCCATCAGAAATCTTCTTTGTCGTCTTCTCCCCTAACCCCAACTTCAATTCAATCTCAGCAAGCGTTTACCAAGATATATTTTGTGCAAAAACATGTTCTTTGGGTCCAGAGGCCCAGAAATGAGTCAGGTTCCTCCCTCAGCCTCCAGGAACCCACCAGGTGGTGATGGCGTTCTGGGTGTGGTTGAGGGGGGGAGAAACTGTACATCTTCACTGTGTTAGTGCAAAAGCCAGAGGGCTTCCTTTCACTGGAGGAAGAGAGACGAGGGATGGCAGCTTCAGTCCCGGAGTTCCTATTCCATCAAGTCTGTCTCTAATGCCATTCCCTCCTGGAAATATTTCCTGGTACATTTTTTCTCCCAGGGAGCTCATTACCCTTCTTCAACGTTCTCAATGCAAGTTGCGGAGAATTTATTGTTCCCTGGGCAATGTCAGGTCTCTCATGATTTCCATCTTCCTTGACCTTGTATTAGAATCCTCCTCGGACTTGTCCTGGGTCTCCTACAGGATTAGACGTTACTTGGGGCAGGCTGGGCAATCAGGGCTTTGCATTCTGCCTGCTGAGGCGGAATCAAAGACAGCTGCTTTGTGCTTTAATCTCTGGAAAGACATGGAAGCATTGGAGTCTCTAAAGCAAGGCTCGAAACACTACAGTCTGTGGGCCAGGTTGGGCCCAGTGCCTGTTTTTGTGTGGCCTGTGAGCAACGAAGTGTTCTTACCTTTTTCAATGGTTGGAAAAAAGTAATTTCAAATTTGAGTGTCCATAAATAGATTTATTGGGACACAGTCATACCTATTTTTTACATATTGTCTATGGTTGTTTTTTGTGCTACAACAGCAGAGTTGAGTAGTTGTAAGAGAGAGAGAGAGTATGACTCACAGAGCCTACAATATTTTCTCCCTGGCTCTTTACAGAAAAAGTTCACTAAACCTTGCTCTAAAGCAGCTGTTCTCAACCTGTGGGTCGCGACCCCTTTGGGGGTCGAACGACCCTTTCACAGGGGTCGCCTAAGACCACCGGAAAACAAAAAGATACTTACATTACGATTCATAACAGTAGCAAAATTACAGTTATAGAGTAGCAACGAAAATAATTTTATGGTTGGGGGTCACCACAACATGAGGAACTGTATTAAGTTGAGCACCGCTGCTAAAGTGTAGGTGAAGGGCCTGACCTAATTCACAGATAATAGGAGTACATATTGAAGGTTGGGCAGCCCAAGGGGCCAAGTATCTCTGGATAAGACAGGGGCAAAGGCAGCTCATGGTCCATCTTCCCAACAGGAAACCTGCCTAGGGGCCTGAGAGGGACCTTTGGAGATATATCATCCCTGCTCAGGAAAGCTGGGAGGTGGGGTGAAGTCACAAGGAGGCAAGGACTTTGGATTTGCTTCCATGTGGCATGGCAGCCTGGCTCCAGTTTCCTGCTTCTTCCCAGAGCTCTCCCGGGGATGGGCCATGGGGGACCCACACAAGGAGAAAAAGGGCCTCCAAACACACAATACTCTTACGTTCCTAAAGCCTGACTTTTTTCAAATGAGATGGAGAAGGAGATTTGAGAATCCTCACGGGATAGCCCTGCCCTTTACTCACCCGAGTCCATAGTCTGAGAAGTGACAGTTGCTCCCAGGGCTCAGCCACCATGCCACTGGAGTTGGCTCCAGCCTGCACTCCGCTACCTATGAACGAGGGGTTCAACCAGCGTGCTTCGTGCCCTCCCCTGCCTTCCTTCCTGCAGCCACTTGGAGGAGGCAGCTGGAGACACTTGGGAAAGTTGCCTTGAAGAACAGCTGAGTCAGATGAACCAAATACCCTGTGCTTGGGTGGTATTTCCCAGAAGACCCTGTGCCCTGCCGGCACTGACTATGGTGGGAAGGGTCACTGTTGGGGTCAGCCCCAGGAGACCACCTTGAACAGCACTGACAGCATTTTTTTGAAAGCTATCCCTGCAGTGCTGGCCCTGCCCCTCCCTGCTTGTTCATTCATTCAGCACATATTAGTAGAGTATCCTCTGTGGGTTGAACTTACCCTTTGGTAGGGAAGATTGACAGTCTCTTCTATGGGGAGAAGGGTATAAGTGAAATAGAAATCATTAACATTTATTGAGAACGTGCTAGGTGCCAGGCACTATTCTAAGCCCTGTGCCTGTATGAAATCGTTTAATCCTCTCAAAAATGCTGTGGGGTGGGGTTTGCAGAGGTATCATTATTCTTTTATTATAGATGGGGACACATGGGCTCAGTGAGGAGAGGGAACTTGTCTGAGGTCACCCAGTTGGAAAGGGGCAGAGCCAAGAGCCAGCCTAAGAACCCAGGCTTGTCTGATTTCAGAAGCCAAAGTCCTAACCAAATTCAGAAGCCTGAACTTGGGTGT